AGACGTCACCAAGGAGCCGCTGCTGACCACCCATAACGCAGAGCGCGGAGCCCGTAGCACGTGTAGGGAGGAACCGGAGACAGGGCCGTCTCTGGAGGCATCCGAGCATCAACATGACTGTTCGAGGGTTCAGAAAATCGTTTGGAGAGCAAATATGAAGAAAACAGTTCAGAGAAACATTATGGCGATATAGGAAGATTGGAGAATATTTAGAAAAATATTAAAGCGTGACTTAGCTTTAGACAGGGCGTCTGGTCGGCGACGTATGACGTTATCTGGTTGGCGTTTGACGGCGAGCACCTGGCAGGCAGTGAGTTGTTGGTGAAGACGACCTCGGAGGTGGTTCCGAGATCGGATCTGTTGTCGCGGGTGCTGGTGCAACCATCAATGAATCGTCGTCGTGGACCAATATGGATCTCCATGAGATTGATGACGAGAACGCGCTGTTGATTTGAGGTCCATCTGGCTCGCCATGGGATCAAGCGCACACCCCTACCTGGCGCGCCAACTGTCGATAAAAGATGCTCGGCAGTCCACCGAGGGGTATCCCGCGATGGTAGATTTGTCGGTGGGGGTGCGCGTAATAAGGAACCGGATGGTGACACAAGGCGCAAAGACAGCGATTTAGACAGGTTCGGGCCGTCTGAACGACGTAATACCCTACGTTATGTGTCTTTGGTGTATTGTATTGATCTGGATAACCACGTAGCTGTATGTAGACTCTCCGCTAGGGGACCCCTGCCTCTCCTTATATACTTTGGAGGGGTAGGGTTACAAGAAAAGTATCATATTTGGTACTATACAATATCTTACGGTGCACGCCGTGCACGCCTTGATCTTGTGGGCTGGGCCACCTCTGATGGTGCGGCCCATGTCTTGTCTTGTGGATACCGGGGGGCATACCCCCACACCAGTTAGGTGTGGTGCCTTTGCGTTAGGTGGTTGTGTATGATTTACATCTGCTTATGCGACTCCGCCGATCTAGGGAGCCCTACCCTCCTTTATATGGTTCAAGAGGCAAGTCTCCTAGCCGGTTATAAAGTAGGAGACCTAGTAGGATTACAAGATAGCAGTCCTGGTAGGATTACATATGAGGAATTCTAGTTGGACTAGATCTTCTACTTTTCTTACGGGGTATCCGAGACTATGTCCCACATGGCCACAGGCGGGCAAGATGAGGGGGTGCTCTCACTCACTCACTCTCGCAATGAGACTAGTAGAGTCAAAATATACTTATCATTCTGGGACCGAGGGAGTAACTAGGTTCATCTCAGTCCATATCCGGGGGCATCATGAAGTCCTTGACTAAACATGGATATATATTTGATTATCAGTGGCTGAAAAAACGGCAAGCTTTGATCAATTGAAAGCTCAACGACTTTTATTTGTGAGCATCGCCAAGTATGGATTCCAACTGAATCATCGTACCTAGACTCAGATGAAGCAAACCAAACCACCAACATAAGTACTTAATGGCAGGAATCCAAAAGATTACTTTGTCTTTTTTTTGAATTTTTATGTGTTTCCATGGCATCGAAGCAACGAGAGGGAAAGCGATGTTGCCCACTCTGCTGCGAAAGGAAAGGGGCTGGCTATATAGGAGAGATGAGAGAAGAATTCGAACCTTGTTCTTGAGCCAATTTGTGACAAGCTGAAAAAACAATCAAGTGGGCAATTGTTTGTTGTAGGGTTTTAAATTTCGGTTTGCATGTTTGTACCGTTCATGGCCAAACTTACTGAATTTTGATAATTCGGCCCCAAATTTCGATCAAATAAAATTAATTTAATTAATTTTATGTTGCACTTTTTAAAAAAAAAAAGAAAGATGGCCTTGAAGGTGGAGGTGGAAGCTTCCCATTTACTTGTGGATTTTAGTTGACACAGATTATATTTCCAACCACTAAGTTCTGGTATTTCAAAACAAAAACATATTTTCACTTGCCTCTAGAAACACCGAAACTCGTGAAGGATAAGTTACATCCATGATATGCTTCTTGTTTTTCTTTTTATTGATATAACTTATTTTAAGACGAATGAAGTATAACTCTCTCTTTTTGCATTCATAGTTGGGCCCAGCAAATTGCGGTGAGTGGAACCAACAATAAAACAGATCACGCGTGACCAAATTTTTCCTCATGGCCACCTAAAATACAAGTCCTTTTTCTTTTCTTTTTTTCTGTAGTTAGTCAGTTAGTGCTCAAAAAGAATATTCAATTTGCATTTCTGTGCTCAGGACTCGTGACTCATAACTGACGAGGCAATTAAGGTGCAGTGCAGATCACCCTCTTTTTTTTACATGTCACTGGACTCAATTTTGCGCTGGAAGGAACGAAGCTGCATTTTCTTCTTCCTCGATTGATCCGCTGTAATGGAAGACATTGACGACAGCTGAAACCGCAAGATAGCACATTCCAAATGTCCTTATGCTGGTACAACATACAGGCACTCACTCTCCCATTCTCGACAAAACCGTTCACCTTCTCTACGATCGGACGATATCAACAACTACGGACGAAATACAACAAAAAGATCACAATACTGTAGGACAGCGACGAAAGACACTACTAACTACGTGTACATCTCCCCAAGGCAACCAATCTACTTTGTCGGAACACACATCTTCATTCCCGTGCTCGGCGGATTCTTTTACCGTCCAGGCTATGGATCTGCCTCCTCTCTAGGCAGTGGCTCGGTGAGGGGAAGCAAGGGCTCTACTTCTGACACTTCCGAGGGTGGGGGTGCTGACGGTACTGCAACGCCGGTTCTCCTTCTTTCCAGCGGGTGGACAGGGATTCCCTCCAAGATCAAGGCATCCTGCCTTTCAGCGGCCAGCGGCCTACGCTTGGCCCTGGTGACAAGGTAGGCCTCCCCCAACTGATGGGCATGTCGATCTTCAGCCTCCTTCAGGGCTTGCGACATGGCAATCTCACGACTCTCTGCGGCTGTCGCACTGGCATGCGCTTCGGCGAGCTGCACCTAGAGCATCCTGGAGAAGATCTCGGCTTCCTCGGCTCGCCGGAGGCACTTTCTCAGCTCCGAGACTTGCCGGTCATATTGCTCATCCAGAGCAAGCAGGTACGTGGTCAAGTGCACCACGGTTGGGCTGTCTTCTTGCGCATTCCGCCCTTGCAAAGCCTCCATACGAGCCCTCCATACCCGTTGATTCTTTTCCAAAGGTGGAAAGAACCTCATGGGGGTACGAGAAATGGGCTCTTCATAGATCTGGCAAAGGTACCGCAAGGCTTTGCGGGCCATAACTTGGTAGGTGTCGATGAAGAGAAACCCGGTTGCGGTCACATTCCAGGCTTCAGTGATGTTGGGAAACTCCTCACTCTTCCCAATATAAATGATAACTTCACACCGCTCAGTGTCATGCTTTTCATACTCACGGCCCTCATACTCAGGATGATCTTTGACTCCGAGCTTTTGTAGGGTGACATACAGGATTCTGGGAAAACCCTCAGTGTTCAGGCAGTAACTGTTAACCCAGGCTCCTGCCATCCCTGACGGTGGTTGCAAGGAAGGATTGAGCGAAAGGCTTGCTCAAAAGGAAAAGCTAGGCGAGCCGGAGTGCACTGGGTGGTGGTACCGATGGCTAGGCCAGATTCTGCTTATAACGGCAGAGCGGTCAGCGATCCTGGCGCAGTCTACCAAGGCTCCTGCGCGGGATTACTACAATGAATCGGCCGAATTTTTCGCGCGTTCGAGACGGACGATGTCTGAGGTCATTAATGACTAGTACGGCTGTAGGGCAAGGGTCCGACAAGAGCGCAGAAATGAGTACGGGGAGACGTGGGTCACGGCAAGCGTGAACCACCAGCGAACGCGGAGCACGAAGTCACAGTGCAATAATAACTCCGGAACAAGGATGGGTCAGTCGTGCCCAATACGACTCGCGTGACATCCATGCGGAGCGCATCTATCAGCAATACGGTCACGACAACTAAAGCAGTACAAGCGCGACTAACTTAAAAATCGTATACTGCGCGAGAGTCAGTCCACCGGAGAAAAGCCTAGTTAAACCTATTTCGGCTGCTTAACTATAGTAATAACGCTACTTTTATACCTCGTAGTTAAACGCCCTAAGTTCTGGTATTTCAAAACAAAAACATATTTTCACTTGCCTCTAGAAACACCGAAACTCGTGAAGGATAAGTTACATCCAAGAGATGCTTCTTGTTTTTCTTTTTATTGATACAACTTTTTTTTAAGGCGAAGGAAGTATAACTCTCTCTTTTTGGCCCCGTTCGCTTCGCTGAAAAAACAAGCCGAAACACTGTTTCGGCTGATTTGTTGTGAGAGAAAAACATTGTTCTGGTTGAAAAAAGAAGCCGAAAAAGACGGCCTTTGCATTCATAGTTGGGCCCAGCAAAGAGCGGTGAGTGGAACCAACAATTAAACAGATCATGCGTGACCAAATTTTTCCTCATGGCCACCTAAAATACAAGTCCTTTTTCTTTTCTTTTTTTCTGTAGTTAGTCAGTTAGTGCTCAGAAAGAATATTCAATTTGCATTTCTGTGCTCTGGACTCGTGACTCATAACTGACGAGGCAATTAAGGTGCAGTGCAGATCACCCTCTTTTTTTACATGTCACTGGACTCAATTTTGCGCTGGAAGGAACGAAGCTGCATTTTCTTCTTCCTCGATTGATCCGCTGTAATGGAAGACATTGACGACAGCTGAAAGCGCAAGATAGCAGCCGCACCTGCGCCCGTGCCTTCCTGGAGCCTTCTTCTTCAACTGTGCTCATCCCATCACGTTCACAGTACTGTACATGCCACTAGCTAGCTCCATCAAAGCTCTGATTTTTTTGCACCCATCTTGACATGAGACAACCACTGACCCACCCATTTTTCGCTCTCCCTGCCATGCCATTCCCGTGAGACTCAGACTGACAGAGAGAGTTGCTGCGACTGCGAGTGCGAGGCCGAGGCCGAGGCGACCTCATTCACCAGCCCAAAAGTTCCAACTGTTTTTACCTCCGGCCGGGCATCGGGCCATGGCCGCAACGCCGGAGGACGTCGCGGAGCCCGAGCCCTTCCCCCCCTCGATCTTCCTCGACCTGCCTCCGACGCCCCATCCCCAACCCGACGGCGACGGCGATGACCTGCAGGCCTCGTCGGACGACATGGTGGTCCCCTTCATCCGGCGCATGCTCATGGAGGAGGAGGAGGACACCGACGACAACATCTTGTACCAGCAGTACCCCGACCACCGTGCGCTCCTCCTGGCACAGCAGCCCTTCGCACAGATCCTCTCGGCGGGCTCCACCTCCACTGCGACGCACACGCACGCCGCCGCCAACGACTCTGCTTCCGGCTCGTCGGCCACCACGAACTCCAACGGAGCCCCCGCATTCGCCAACGCTACCTGGCCATATGATCCAGTCGAGTTCTCCCAGCTGCTCCGCTGTAGGACACGCTCCGGCACGGGAGCCGGACTCGACGGTTTCACCGGCGGTGATGGCAACGACTCCTTTTCCTCGCCGGGACAAGGCAGAGCCAGTGCGTGCGGCCAGGCCCGCGCGTTCTTCAATGGCGGCGACACGGCCACCATCCAGAGCTCGAGCCTCGGAGACGGGGTGGGGGTTACCATGGACATGCTCAACCAGGCGTTCCTCAAGGGAATGGAGGAGGCCAACAAGTTCTTGCCCACCACCACCATCGCCATTATTGGACTCGACGGCGACACGGCGACGCCATTATTCAGGGACGGCAGCATGCTGCTGCCTCGTGTCTTCGCCTTACCCAACACCTACAGTGTGGTGGATGGCAGAGTGAGCGGCAGAGGCTGCAAGAACCGGCACGACTGGGATGACATGGACGACGACGCCGAGACCGGCAGGAGGAGCAACAAGCTGCTGGCACCTGAGCCGGAGGAGAACCGCGAGCAGGTCGACGACGTGTTCGTCAAAGGATACGAGATGGCCATTGAGAAAATGCATGGCCTGAGCATCAGCAACAACAACGGCAGCGCGTCCGACGGGAAAGCGAAGAGGAAGTCAGCAGCGCAGGCCAACGAGGCGGTGGACCTGCGCACCTTGCTCACCCACTGCGCGGAGGCCGTGTCCACGGGCGACCGCCGCAGCGCGACCGACCACCTCCGGCAGATCAGGCAGCGGTCCTCGCCTAGGGGAGACGCCTCACAAAGGCTGGCGCACTGTTTCGCCGAGGCGCTCGAGGCGCGGCTCGCCGGCACGGGGGCGCAGGTGCACAGGTCGCTCGTGGCGAGGCGCACCTCGTGTGGTGTGAACTTCCTCAGGGCCTACAAGCTGTACCTGGAGGTTTGCTCCTTCAAGATGATCGCGTTCAAGTTCGCCCACATCGCCATCTGCAAGGCCGTCCATTACAGGGAGGAAGAAGGTGCACATCGTGGACTACGGCGATCATCACGGCTTCCACTGGCCACCTTTGCTGGAGGCGTGGAAGGATCGGGACGGCGGGCCGCCGGAGGTGAGGATCACGAGCATCGACCGGCCGCAGCCCGGGTTTCGTCCGGCTGCTCGGATCGAGGTGACCGGGCGCCGGCTCAGTGACTTCGCTCGCCGGCGTGGCGTTCCGTTCAGGTTCCGAAGCGTCGTCGCGTCGAAGTGGGAGATGGTTTGCGCCGACGACATGGACATCGAGCCTGACGAGGTGCTCATCGTCAATGGCCTGTTCCATTTCGGGAAGCTGATGGACGAGGGCGTCGACATTGACAACACAAGCCCTAGGGATATGGTCCTCCGCAACATCCAGAAGATGCGGCCTGATGTGTTCATCCTCTGCGTCTAGAACAGCTCGTACAATGCGCCGTTCTTTGTGACGCGGTTCCGGGAGGCGCTGTACTACTACTCAGCGATGTTTGACATCATGGATGCAACGACTCCACGGGACAACGAAGAACGCTTGCTGGTTGAGCAGGACATCCTGGGGTGTTGTGTCCTGAATGCCATTGCCTGCGAGGGCTCCGAAAGGGTGGAGCGTCCCAAGACATATAAGCAATGGCAGGTGCGAGGCCACCGTGCTGGACTGAAGCAGCTGCCCCTGAATCCTAATACGGTGAAGTATTTGAGTAAGAAGGTGAAGGATGGCTACCACAAGGACTTTGTGGTCGATGTGGATCAACAGTGGCTCCTTCAAGGGTGGAAGGGGCGTATACTCTATGCCATGTCGACATGGGTTGCAGATGATGCTATCTCACATAGTTGTAGCCATCCATTCAACAAGCACGATACATGTTTCTGAATCACCTATGAGCAACATCATCACTAGCTGTTAGGCAGTTGTGGTTCAGCAGTATTGACTTCACTGAAACATGGTCTGATAAATTAATAACGTATATAGGAGAATAAGTAGTGACATAGTAACTAATGTTTTGTAAAATGACATGCATAAATATATTCTCATGTTTGTCCTTAGGATCTTAGATATAAGTTCTGGGGCAGGCTGACGCAGAGCTTATATTCTGTAAAATATAATAGTAACCAGAAGATCCTTATGCGTCTTTAATTTTTACCAGTTGATTAGCAATTTTATGGATTGCTTGTTTGAATTTTTGTGAAATGAGGTATTTATATTGTGAAGTTGAACTGGTTTGAGTGGAAGGTGTGGTCACGCATACAAAAGATGCACCAAGGTTTGGTTGAGTCCTCTCTAACACGAACCTGCTTCTTTTTTCATTGATATTTTTTTTAATATGTTGATGCTTAGATCAGCTATACACTACAAGGTGTTAGAACGCTAGGATCGCAAACAGGTTGAAGGAGGGCCAGAATTGACCTAGCAGACTTACAAATCGGCTATAACCTAAAAAGTGTGTTCATAGACGAACACTTCACCTTATACCTACGACGATGAGCGCGACACACAAAACACATCATCGGAGGAGCCATGTTGAGAGCGCAATACGCAAGACACGCTAGCGAAGTCTCTTGAAACCTGAAACCCCACACGCCCAAGAGACACCCCATCGAGGCATGGGGCAACTATGGGTTGCCATACCGGCCTGAATGCTCTAGAGCTTCATGTCATTGAACCAATAGCCATCAGCAGAAACAAAGGACGAAAATCAATTAAAGATTGGAAAAGTAAGGTAGCGGATAAAACTAAGATAGATTGGTTTCTTTGTTTGTTATGTGTTTGACACCTTAATCGGCATTGTTCTCTCGTATACAGAGAAGGGATGGTCTATAGGAAACCTGTTCCATATATAATCTACAAGTTTCCTACATGCTGATTGGGCAAGTTTCCATAGAGATTGGCTTCAAAATGTCTCGCATAGGTAAAACTGGCCTTGGCTGGTTGTTTAAGTTTTGTGTTTTTACTGCAATTTTGACCCTTTTCGGATGCATTTGAGTTTCCAGTATGACATTGGACCTCCCGATTATATTTTTGTTGTCAACAAAATGTAAAAGACATTTTCTATTGGTGTATACTCACTCCATCCAAAAAGTAATGCACATTTCATTTTTCGAGAAATCTCTTATTTTTAAATTGATCTGAATTTATAGAAAATTGTATTAACTTTGTATCTCTAAATAGATTTACAATATATCATGATTAGTTTAATAATTATTATTCACTATCATAGATATTAGTATTTTTCAATAAACTTGGTTAAAGTTAAAATTACGATACGTGTATTCATTTTAGATGGAGGAACATAAGACTCAGCAATGGTTAGGCTCAGTGGAGAGCAGTCAGTGAACCGAACAAATCGTGCTGAGGGTCACATTTTTCCTCATGACCTGGACTCGCCACCTAAAATACATAAGTCCTTTTCTTTTCTGTTAAAAGTTAGTGCTAAGAAAGGATATTCAATTTCTACGTGCTATTTCTCTGTCCTTACTAATGAGGTGTGGTTACATCACAGATCGCATTTTCTTACAGTCGTCTAGCTATATCTGAACGCAAAGTTTATTACGCGGCCGCCGCGCGCCCGCGCCGCTCCCGACGAAGAGGAAGAGGAAGGAGCCTGCGCACGCATCGGAGAGGAAGGAGGAAGCTAGGGTTCCAGCGAGGGGGTCGTCGGCATCGGAGACGATGAGCTCGCCGGCCGTGCCCTCTTTCTTCTCTAATTCCGGTGAGCTTACAAGGCTGCGGAGGGGAAGGAGGTCGGGCAGCTTAGGGGCCCTGGCGGCTGCCAGGCCAGGGAGGGCGGGGGCGCCATGGCCGGAGGGAGGTCGCCGCTGCAGGAGCTCGCCGGAGGAGGTCACCGCTGCCAAAGCTCGCCGTCGCGGGAGGGGAGGGGAAGAAGGCGGCCGCCGCGGAGCCGGCAAACTCTAGCGTGACGCGGCGGGTCGGTGGTCGGCGAAGGGGTGAGGACGAGGAGGAGGGCAGGGCGGAGCAGCGAGGGTGGCTTGAGGGCGGCAATTTTGGGCTGGAACGATGATGCATTTCTTTTTCCTTCCTCGCTGTACTCACTTCGTCCCAAAATACTATTCAAATACTTGACACTCTCACTTTCCAATGGACCTTTCTTTTATCTCAATACACCTTTCTCTTTTCTCAATCATATATATCTCTATTTCTCTATCTTTCCTTCTTATCTTCTTTGCACAGCAACTTTTTAATTTTCTTTAATTCTCGTGTCTAAACTAAAACATCTTCTACTTTAAGACGGATAGAATAGCAGATAAAGTCCTTTCTACATTGTTCGACAGAAGGAAGTGTACGTCAGGTCTCTGTGAGATCTGAGTCACGCATAGCATCTACATGCACCTTCCCGGAGCCGGCTTCTCCACGGTGCCCCTGCCATCACGTCAACTCCCTCTTCAGTTTACAAGCTGCATCAATCAATGCTCTGATTTTTATGCACACCCATCGGCCATCGCTGCCATATTGGACCTGTTTGCTCCCTCTAAAATGATTTCTCAATTTTTCAGTAGTCAAACGATTTAAAGTTTAACTAAAGTTATATTTAAAAATAATAAATATTTATGATATAAAACAAGTATTTTTAAATTAATTATGAAATATATTTCTTATAATAAATTTAGCATAAGACATAAATATTAGGGTGTGTCTCCACTGCAAGTGGAGTGGCTGCAGTTTTGCTTTTTCATCAGGCACCCGATGGCAGCCATTGGATCCTAATCCTACCGCCCAGGAGTCATCTTCAACCTCCTCCCGTCCCTCTTCTTCCTCCGCCCTCCTCCTCGCCCCCGTCGCCGCCCCGCCGCGGGCACGCTAATGTTTGCTTGGAGCTCCGCGGCCTCCGGCGAGAAGAAGCTCGCGAGGCTGATCGGACGAGAAGAAGCCTCCACGAAGTCAACTTCCTTCGCCGCCGTGAGACGGAAGACGGAAGGCTGCGGTCCCTGGAGATGGAACTCCTTAGGGCCTTAGTAGGGTGGTTGGAACAGGCGCGTAGAATGACCATAACGTGCTTGTGTTCCAGTGAAGTTGTACCTAGCTAGCTCAACGAGGGCCGGGATGGTATTGACTGACACAGTGATGGGCTGAACAAGGATTGGGCTCCAGTCTCAAGAGTAGGGCTGGGGAAGGATTAAAGTTGGGCCTGGACCCATTGCGAGTCCTAGCTACTTACTGGCTTTTACTTTTCATCATTTTTTTCATATATATACTCCCGGTTTAATGAAGTTCATTTTCTGTTATATACCATTAGATTAGATTTGGTGCTTCCCTTGCGTTTGGAAAAGAAGAAAGCAGATGCATGACTAAGCACTGAAGTTGTACGGATGGGTTTTTCTTGTTCGTCGACGACTATTAGCGGATAGCGTACAGGGACTGCAGTGCAGCAGGAGAAAACGAAGAGCTGAATCAAGAGAGACCAGAGGCATGTTTGGATCCTTTGTTGAGTAGTATCATATCGCCTCGCCGAGGCCGAGCTAGGAACTGAAACGGGCAGCGCGCGCTAGCAAGCTTTCCCTCTGCTGCTTCAAGATAGTCAGGTTGGCATAAACCTTCTTCTATCCGTTTAAAGCTTTACTTTAGTCTAACACCGTGGAGGGCCTAAGCGGATGGAATTGATACCGATAAGGCCCTCTTTGCTTGAACTTATCAGCCCGGCTTATCAGCCATGGTACATTGTTTCCTCTCATAACAAAACAGCATCAACCAGTTTATCAGCCACAAAACAGTAATGGTGCTAAAAAAGAAGTTCCCCGCTGCCCATCTACTGTATAAGTTTTTTTTTTACAATCTACTGTATAAGTTAGCAGTCTGTAATAAGCTGACTGTGGTGGGTGAATTTCTGAAGCGGTTGCAATCGTCATGCAAACGTTGAGGTTTGTTGCATCAGAGAAAACGGTGAACGAACTCCATGTGAAGGCAGACCCTTTCTACATTTTCCATCAGGTGCAGTAAAAAGACCGGGGACCTGTTTTTTCAGTAAAAAAACAGAAACCGCCGCTGAGAGGGGATCTTCGATCTTCAACGACAGCGACTTTCGATTGCTCGTGCGTTTCAGGCGTACTACAGTGTTTCGATTGAAACCGCATTTCGTCGCGTCTTCCTTCATTGGTCTCCATCGTCCAGCGTCGTCGGCTCTGCTCTGCTCAGGGAAAAGAAAAACAAACGTTTCCTGACTCTGCTGCGCCTGCGGTCGCATCTGGCGGCTTCCTCCACCTGCTGCTGCAGCGCTGCTCTGCTGCTCCCCACCCGTCCTGCCCCGGCGTCGTCAAGGTCCAGTCCAGCTTCCCCTGTTGTTCAACGAAAAGCTCCGTTCCGATCCATCAAACTCAAAGCTCCCTTCTTTTAAGCTAGCGTCCCCTCCCTCCCGTTGATCCATCCCATCCATGTCTCCCGTCTCACCAGTGCAGTGAGCGACTAGTGCGCAAGCAGTCGCCGGCCGGCATAAAGATTCAGTTTTTCTCGCCTCCTCGCCGGGTCCCGGACATGGCCGCCGAGCCGGCGGACCTCGCCGACTCGCAGCCCTTCTCTCCGTCCGACTTCCTCAACCTTCCCCCAACGCCCCTCCTCGACCTCGACTGCCCTGCCCTGCAGCTGCAGGACGACGATGACGACCTGCAGGTGCTCCCCTTCATCTCGCGCTTGCTCATGGAAGAGGAGATGGACGGCTTCTTCGACCCGGACCACCCCGCGCTGCTCCAAGCCCAGCAGCCCTTCGCCGACATCCTCTCTGACGCCACCGCCAATTCCATTTCCACCGCCGCCAACAGCCGAGGGACTGGGAGCGGCACCTTCACTGGCCTCTCGCCGGCCTCTGCAGCTGGCTCCCCTGCATTCGCCAACGCCACCTGGCCCTACGATCCAGCCGAGCTCTC